CAGTTAAGCTGGTCACAGGAAGTGGATTTGTACGAAGTACTGATGGATACCGATTGTAAGTTCCTTCACTCACCTGATTTTGTAGTTTACCTTCGGAAGTCTCATTAACTGATTCAATGAGCAAAAAAAGAAATTTTTTCAATTTTTTTTTCTTTTGTTAGGTGGGAAATAAATAAAAAAAAGATTTCGCGGCCCTGCGTAGTCTTTTACTGTTGTAGAGATGGTAAGGAGGGAATTTATGAGTTGAAGGGTGCAAGAAATTTAAGTATGGGTTATTTTGGGCCTGGGAGAGATGACAAACTTCTAGAGTATGCAGTGAAGCATTGATCTTTGTTTTTTTTTTCGATTTTTAATTGAAATTTTCATCAGTTTTATAGATTTTTTTAAAAAAGAAAAAATGTTTTTTGCCTCAGCTGCTTTTGGTTTTTAGCTGAGCCATATGAGAAGTGGTCCTCAACACCAGTGAAGAACGAACTGAAGTTTGACGATAAAGGAGGAAGTGATTATATGCCGATCAATTACGAACCACAGCCAACTGAAATCTCGTTTGTTCAGTGCTTCCGATTACCTGCTCCCCTGAATAATACCGATATGGAAGTGAGTCACTTTTTTTATTTTGTAAAATGCTTATTTATTAACAGAAAATTAGCGATGCGCGCCTGGTAGCCGATGCGATAGCGAAATTTTTTTTTGAGGTTGTGCCCAGCCGACGTCCACCGTTAATAATGTTCATTGTTGCGCGTGAGCACAAAACGTCTTAAAATTTCAGCTTTCTATCTTTTCCGATTTCGCAGTAGAAAACTTCCTGTTTGAAGTTGTACATGTATGTGCCTTTATGTGAGATGCAGACATGTCAGAGTCATGCAGAAGTAAGAAAAATCCTCGCAAAATTTCAGCTTTCTATCTTGTTTGGTTCCCGATTTCGAATGGCACGGGCCTTTTGCAGTTTCAGCGTTTATATACGGGAAAGTGAGACTTAGGCGTGTGGGAAGACGAATTTTTTTTTTTTTAAGTTTTCAAAACCGCTCATTTTTCCTGCTAGGATTAAAGAGTGTGTGAGTGAAAAATTATTGTATCTTTTTTCAGATATCAGCGATTGTTCCAGTGCAAGGTATTTTCTTGGTTGTGATTG